TTCAATTGATACCTGTCATACGTTCATCCGATCGTCTCACAGTTCGATTACTCATTATTAATATTAATTATAGACTTAAATAAAAATAATAATAATAATAAAAAGAACCTATTATTAAATGATTAATTACTAAAATATTTAAGACATACAATAGTATTATTGTAATTAAGATGATTAATGTGTAATTTAATCAACTATTTAATCATAAACTGTGTAAAATAATAATTAATCAGACTAATATACTTTATTTATGTTTGTCATCGTTTAATCACCGGTTTAATTGAACACCGATATTATTTATTAGCCAATAAATAAATAAATAAATATGTTACTAGATTACGCTATTTATAATGATAACAATATTCAAAATGATCAGGTAGACAAAAAAAATATTTAAAATTAATAATCCAGTGTCCGGATCTAAGAAAAGTGATTAATCAAATAATGCTAAAATATATGCGCTAATTAGATATTGTAAATAATAATTTTTTCTATCGAGCGACCAATCGTTAAGGGGTGACAACAACACGAGAAAGTTACGGAAATGTGATTACTAAAACTACAAAGCCAAATAGATGTTAAATAGTTTTATTATTTGAGAGTGAAATATGTGCATATTTAAATAATAATAGTTATTAAAAAAAGTATATAATATTATTTTGAAAAAAAGTAATATTGCTACACGCGGTGCCTAAAACTATTCAGCGTGTAAATTTTCAATTAAATGAAATTAATTATTGAAATATTTTTTATCAACTTTTGACGATCACTCACTTCATCTTCGCCGTTTTAATAATCGGCCTATTAAGATTTGTTTTTGAATTTTTTTTTTTTAAAATAAAAGGCCTGGAAATTTTATTTAAAAAAAAAAACGAAATTGTAATTGGTAATTATTTTTTTATATTAAAAAATACGGTGATAGATGAATTGAGTGAATTGTTATTATAAAATAGAAAGTAAAAGAAATTCTAAAGCTGAGCAAAATTTACAATTGTAGATGTTTATTTTGGATACTAAAGCACAAGTTTATTCTCGATAATATCTTTCGTACTAGGAGGCCGTATTAAAACTAGAATATTTAATGGATAAAGTGTCTCTTAGTCTTGGTCTTTTACTAAAAGCTTTCTAATTGATATAACAACCTAGTCCTATGTAATATTTAATAGATCGGTGGCCTATCTTGACAGGGTTCGATTCTTATATTTTTTGTCACTCTCATCAACTGAATAAATAAAACTAACAAATAATCAAATAAAATATCTAAATGTTAAATATCTTATTAAATTATATTAAATAAAAAAAAAAAAAATATTGATATATTTCCCTCTAATTTGATAAGAAAATTGCATTGGTTGACTAAAATCATGCGAACAAGCTCAAAAATATTGACTAAAAAGATAATCACCGTAAAAAAGAAAATAAATAAAATTACTTACCGATTTGGTTCCGACAAATCAATTGTATTAAACAAACCTGAAACATTGTAATTAAATTAATTATGATAAAAATTTCGAAGACCTGTCTATGTAATACGTACCTGCTTTTTTAGATGTAAGATTAAACGGTTGGGAGGAGATGGAACGCGCTCGGTGGTTGACAGTTGGTCGTCTCGAATGAAAAAGCTATAGATAATTATTATTAAATAAATAACTGCATAAACTTTTAATAATAATAATAATAATAATTAGCATTAGTAAGACTTTTATGTCTGTTATTAAAAAAAATACGATTAACCTGTTTTATCTTTTTTACAACAATAAAGTTAAAATATTCTTTCGAACAAAACAAATAATTGCTCTATTTATTTGTCTTCTCGTATTTCGCTGTTCATAAAAAGCTCCAGACTTCCGTTTTTATTGCCTTACTTTTTCATTTTTACTTTTATTTACCACTATTGCGGCTTGAATTATTATTTTGGAGTTTTCTCTTGGCTGAAATAAAAAATAAATTTTATTAATAATAATAATGAAAAAAAAAATTTATTAATTTTCTGAAAATTAATTTTTTTTTTTTTAATAAATTATAAGAATTTATAATTTTTACATGTCAATTTTTTTTTCCATAATTTATTAGTTAAAAAAAAAAAATGATAAAATATTTGCTAAATTAATTTTAATGCACTAATTACTCCCTCTAAAGACTGCTCACTGAATCGTTATATTACCACAAAAGTAATAATGATTTTTGGCCGTTTCTCGTGATCTCATTAGACACATACCAAAAATCCGGATCAATTTATTTAAAATTGATTACTAAAAACTATTATAATTATTTATTCAAGTAATAATACTAATATTAATTAAGTAATATTTATAATCAATAAAAACTATTATGTAAGAATAATAATACTGTTAGTAATAATAAAAATAAAAACTAATGACCTACCATTGTCTATAAAGTGTACAATGATACAATCAACTGAACTCATAGTTCAAGAGTTTACATATGTCAATCGCCCATTATATAACGAGTAGACATTTAATAAAAAAAAAAGAATAAAAAAAAAGAATAAAAAAAAATATTTATTATTAAATTACTAAACAATATTATTATTTACAAATAGAAACCCTTTATTTAATAACTAGGCGATGGATTTATTATTTTATTTATAAATAATACCGTAAATTTTTTATTCAGGTTAACGAATAATTTTAGTAGTTATTTATTTTTTTATTGTAAATAATTTGTGTAATTTAATTTTAGTTATAGATGAGAAAGTGGATGAATAATAATTATTATTAATGATAATAATGATAAGATTAATAATATTTTTACTGTAACTGGGAATATTATAAATATATTATTGAAATGATTAATTGTTTCTTCTCCGAGAGACGTCTAACAATAAGAAGGGTTTGTCTGGAGAAACGATTAATTATTTTTTATTTTAGAAATATGAATTATTGAATAAAGGGTCTCAGATACTATTAAATATACATGAATCTATATATATATATATATATATATATAATGATAATAATAATGTGGAAATAGAAAAATGAATAAAAACAAACAATTACAGTAGTTAGCTTGCAATTGTTGATATTTAAATCGATACATTGTATCAATATGATATATTATTATGTACTATGAATTATGAATTATGATGAATATGAATTATGTGTATATTTTACTATAATGAATGACTATGGAAGTAAATAAATGAATAAATATATAGAAAAAGTCTACTCATAATCCAATGAATAAGAATGATTGATATGTAATGCCATTTTAATAATAATGATAAAGAAGTATAGTGAAGTAAAATAATATAAATTATCATAAAATGTTATTGTGAACAAAAATTAAATGTGGATAATGTATAGTTGGGTGGTAATGATGAACAAATAAATAAACAGCCAGATTTAAACCATATGACAACCTGAAATTCTGATATAAATGATTATATATGTATAAAAATTAAATAAAATGCCTCAATCGATAAATATTTATTTCTTCTTTTATTAAAATATTCCCCTTTATTTTATAAATACCTCATTATTTGTCATTTCTTCTTTTTTTTTTTAATTAATTATCTCCAAAAAAATATATTTCTTCTTTTTTCATAATTCAATTAACCTAAAATAATTATTGACCTTATATTTTTAAATTTAAAATAATTATACAATTTTATTTCTTTAATTTTTAATAACTAAATTTTTAAAAACTCACTTTAAATTGTTTTTTAAATTTTAACCTGTCAAAAAACAATTTTTAAAAGTCAATTTTCTTTTTATAAAAGTAAAATTAACTTTTAAAAAACTCACCTTGATTCGGAATTATTTTTATAATTTTAACTTATCAAAAAATAATTTTTAAGAGTAATAAAAATGAATTTTTTTCTTTTAGCCATTTTCTTTTTATAAAAGTAAACTTAATTTTTAAAAAACTAACCTTAAATTGTTTTAAAAATTTTTAACCTGTCAAAAAACACAATTTTTAATATTAAAAAGCCAAATTTCTTCTTTTAGCCATTTTCTTTTTATTTTATAAAATATCTGAAATAAATTTTGTTGATAACTAAAATCTCAATTGTACTTACTGTCAAAGAAGAAATAATTTTCTACACTACCAACAATTTTTTTTCCTAACCTACAAATGATAAAACAACAAAACACTTACCAACACAGCCATGACGTTGCACGAACAGCGAAAAACACTTGAAAGAAAAAAAAAACCTCCCAAGACTTGAGACAAAAGCTTACATGACGACGAATAAGAATAATTCTAGTGAAGTGATATTGGCATTGTTTTCGATCAGTGTGTTGCTGTTTTTCTCCCGTAGCTCATCAGCTGTTTATCTTAATCTGACAATCAACGACGCAGCTCTGAGCGATTAATCCATCAGCTGACGTTCGTCAAATTGTCAACACAATGTCAGTGAATAAATAATCTTTGTTGATGAAACGAAGAATTGAAACAAATTAAAAGAAACTTTAGAAATCGTGTAGTGAAAATTGTACATAAGTGTTTGTATCCATAGATATATATATATATATATACATTACTCACACAAGCTCATCAATATATGTACATACACACATATATACACTTGGTGTATAGATTAAAATCAAGCAGTCATGGTGGAAAAGTCAGGCAGTCAGCTGTAGTCAGCTGTATTGTGTGTTAATAAATTATTTTATCAATTTAAAAACCAAAATTATAATTGTTATTTCAGACAAATGTTTATCAACAGCCAAGTATGTGATAGAATATAAAATTGACAAAAGTAAAAGCTTTAATTAAGTTTAAATTGTTTTGTTATGTTGGCTGCTGACAGTCACAAAGAAAAAAGTGGCCTTGAGTGTCGAACCCTGACCATGCCAAGTCGGATGACATTTTTGGGGATACGCTGACCAATAACTTGTCGTCAGCGCCCACTGCTCTTCGTTCCAGACCTGAGTTGCCTCTCGGTATTGTCTATTGTCAGGTAGACTGCCACCAGTAAGTTCATTTTTAAAATAACCTGCAAATCGACAACAATCCTTTGTTCGAACAAAATGGGCAACTGTCTCAAGAGCAGTGGAGGTGCTCAAAATGACAACGCGACTCTGTTGAACAACAGTCCAGATCCTGCTATGTCTGGTAGTTTGTCGCAAGATCAACTCAATTCACAAGCTATGCCTTACAATGTAATTATCAATTTTATTTTTATTGTAATTATTATTACTAGCAACTGTCCTTTTTTAAATATTGACGTTTTTAAAGATATAAGCTCATCCCGATGTTACACTCCTCAAGACCTTTCATTTGAGTACCCACATGCATTTTTATATATTTTTCATATATATATATATATATAAATATATGAAAAATTGATGTGGGTACTCAAATGAAAGGTCTCGATGAGTGTAACATCGGGATGAGCTTATATCTTTAAAAATGTCAATGGTTCACAAGATACAAGGTCATTTCTTAATTATGTATCTAGAGATAGAGCATTTTCAAATGCAGCCTAAATACTTATAATAAATTGACTATCCTGAAAACAAAAATTTTCTTATTCTTCTAAGAATATAGATTAATCTGGCTATCTTTTCAGGAGCTGGTGGATTCTCGGTACCCAGTTGTCTCAACCCGCGAGAGACACGTGCGGTCAACGGAATCGAGCATCGGCGGACTGGGCCAGGGCATCGGAATGACAACGGGCAACATCAGAGGAACCGGACTGATGAACTCGGCAACGATTAACGAAGAGGAGCACCAGGTGCGAATTGCCAAACGCATTGGACTGATCCAGCACTTACCCTCGAGGGAGTACGACGGTGCCAAAAAGGGGGAGTGTGTAATCTGCATGATGGAGCTGACTATTGGAGAGGCCGTTCGCTATCTTCCCTGCATGCACACTTATCACGCGATGTGCATCGACGACTGGCTGCTGCGTTCTCTCACCTGTCCTTCCTGCATGGAGCCCGTCGACGCGGCTCTCATAAATTCCTACCACCCCACAACTTAGTTCCTCGGAACTGACCTTAAATTACCAGTCGAGATGTCGAACCATGGCTCTCAGGCCGCTCGGGTGTAAAAAGATAAGCGTCGGGGTAGACTTTTAATCGACAATAGTAAATCCTCGTTTCACTCTCCAAAATCATTGCAATTTTAATTAATCTGATTGTATTATTATATTAAATATAACTGCAGGCGGTTTCATTATACATTTCATCTTATAATTAATTTTTTTTTACATGAACTATAACTAGTTTTAAATTTGATAGGACAAGTGTATCAAAAATAATCGTGATATAGTAGAATTATAATAATTAAATAATAAATTGATTTTGGAACTGAAATAGAATGTTGTACTGTTGTCTAGAGTATCCTCGAGTTATAATAATTAAAGCATCACATAATCGCGTTAAAAGGCTTTGGTATTATTATAAATATCGCTACGGCTTTCTAGTTAAGAATGAAAAGAAGGAAGAAAAAAATGGAGCTGTGAAATAGTGGTTTGTTGACTACAAATAAATATTTAAAATAACTACTTATAGATAAGTTTAAAAAAAATTATTATTAGAGAAAAAAAAAAATTAAAAATTTAATACAACTATAATTAATTGTATTTCTTTATTTACTTGTATTTAAGTATAAGTACTGTACATATACGTATGTATACATATTCGAATATTAAAATACTATGTTAAAAAATTTTTAATGACCCTGGAATTACTTGATATTTGATAACTTCTTCTTTTGAGTGAATCATTCTAAAAAATTATGATTTACTTTTAGATAAAAAAAGAAGAAATTATTCCGTGTCAGCTAATTTCAGAAGGATGAATTTTTATTACCATTTTTTAATCACTCCGTTCAATTTTGATAAGAAATGAATGAAAGTTTACTCGAAAATTATTAAAAAACAAGGATTAGTAAGTTTAGTCTTTAAAACTTTGAATAAATTTATTTCTAATGATTATTAACTAGTTTAATATATGTATGAAGGTAGTAACTAGTATGATAGTGAACTAGTTTAGGTTTTAAAATTTTTTCAAAATTTATTTGTTATGATTGTCATGTACCAATGAAATCACTGTCACGATTTGCGTGAATTACAGCGAATTAGTATTAGGTTTTAAAACTCTCTAGAATATTATTTATAGTTTTTAACGTTCGATCCTTCTGTGTTCGTATTTTGAGCGAATTAGGATTTATTAGGCTTTAATACATTTAAATAATTTATTTGTCACGATTAGTATATATTCCGGCTGCGCGAATAGTGTATGAATCGAATATTCAAATAGTTGGAGTATCACACACTCCTACTTTTTTTCCTAAGCCTAATTTTTTCGCCGTAATATCAAAACTTAAAACCATTACGTTGAAAATAAAAATATTAAATGAAAAATATTGCTAATATCATAACGAGGAAAAATTTGATAGTCTTTAAAACTACTGAACCGATTTAACAAATTTTTTACCGTATTTTACATCATAATTAATTTAAACATTTTTGTTAAATATATCTGAGCGATACCGGGGCGACTTGCTAGTAATAATTATAATAACAATTATTACACTCAACTGGAGCAGGTAAGGTAGTTTTTTTTAGTTAAAAAAAAAAAACCACAGATCGAAAGTGGCGCCACCTGGAGGAGACGCCAGAAGTAATAAGAGATGAAGAAAAGATACGCAACAGCAGCAGCAACGGGAACAGCCGAGGAGCAAGCAGAGTATAACCGTAAACGGCAGTAGAGCCGCCTCCGGAATAGTCCTTTGGCTTTGGCTTGCTGGTATAGTGAGTGTGAGAATAAAAAAAACAAGTGCGAGTAAGAACGCAGAACAAAAATACAAGCAAAGGGTCTGGCAGTCTACGGTCTCCGTGTCTCCGTCTCCCATACCAGACTCGGAGTTGCTCAGAAGTGAGAACGTGTGTATAGTCAGAGTTATTAGGAAAGACGATGGTAATGAGATAAATTAAATAATATTTATTTATAATAAATGTTACGTTGGAGTGAGAATAATCAGGATGGTGTAGAAACAGTTTGTGTATTGTTGAGGATCAACTTTGTTTTTAATTTTACTGAAACAAAATAAACGGTGAGCTGGTGTATTAATGGCTGCTGAGGATGTTTTGCCAATTTATTTATATACAAATAATGGTTATTACATTTATCACTGGCTTATCGACATTGATGATATGATTAACTATCAATATCAATAGAGTATATCTACGCTCGCGGATTAAATGGGGGCTAATATGGAATTTAGTTGCGGGATTTATTATGAATTTATTGTGATTAAACTTATTGTGATCGGTGAATAGTGTGATTTGTGTATAAGAGGCCTCGTATTTTTATATGATGTCGGTCGCTTCTTTTGAAGTGCCCTACGCTGTATTTATAGTACTTTTGATACTATGGAACGTTTCTTATACAATAGCTCGACAGGATGCCGAAACTAGTGAAGATCAAGATAATAATTACAATAATGTTAATAAATGTCCGATAAAATGTGCCTGTCTGGGCAATGTTGTTGATTGCAGTGGTTTGCAATTGATTTCATCGCCTAGTAAATTACCACCATGGACCGAAATATTGTGAGCTTGCTATTTTTTTAAATTATCATTATTATAAAAAAAGCAGACATTTATTTTTAAAAATTCAAAATGAAAATAAAATTACAAGACAGCTGACAATTTGCAGAATTTTTTTTATTAATAAAATTATTACAAAAAAATTAAAAGAAAAAATTGCACATGTAAAAAATTTAAAAAAGTAGACGTGCAATTTTTTTAAAATATTTTTTTATTGCTACTTTAATTAATAAAAATTTTTTAATGGCTAATTTTAGTTTCATAAATTGTAAATTAAATTATAAAAAAAAAATTTCTATTTAAATTTTGCATTCATTACAAATGTTATTTTAGGTATTAAAAAAAAAAAATATTTGAGTTATTTTTTTAGGACGTTATTTTGACAAGGAAAAAATGTTATTTCGTTTGACTGCATTTGAATTGAATGGTTAAAATATGAGACTGATAATTTATTATTATTGTAAAAATTAGTTGATAATATGTGCATAAAATATTATCAGTTATGTATTAAATATTTTTTAAAATTGAATGTCTGCCTCTGTATTAAAATGTTGAGTTTAAATGAATAAAAATTGATCTTTTTTTTACAGAGATTTAAGCTCGAATAAACTAGAGGATAATTTTACATTTTCAATGTCACATCTCCCTCAGCTAACTAGTCTAAAACTCAATAAAAATTTATTTAGCCATATACCAGAGCTCTCATTGTTGGGCAATTTAACTCACGTTTCAATGTAAGTCAGCTTGGTTATTTTAAATGAAATTTAATTTGTAAATGGGGTGGATTAAATATATAAATTATGATTTTGTTTTTGAACGTACAGTTCCCACAATTTTATTGGTGATATTGATGGGACTGCTCTACGAAAATTACCTCATCTCCAGTCTCTGGAGTTGCCGAGTAATAAAATAAAAGTATTAAGACGAGGCTCTTTTTTAGCACCCAATCAACTAATTCGACTGTACGTATAAATTTATATCTGTATCTATATATATATATATATATCTACAGCCTTTATTATTGAATAAATTTCTTTGATTAATTGTGATTGGTATTATAGAAATTTAAATATGAATGAGATTAGTGAGATGGAACCTGGCTGCTTAGATAATTTGACACAGCTCGAAGAGTTAAGGCTAAATAAAAATAATTTAACCCATCTCGTCAAGGATGTTTTTGTAAATCTAACACAGTTGAAATTGCTGTAAGTATTTTATTATTTTATTTATCTAAGTAATTATTCTTATCTGTAAATTTATTGCAGTGAAATAAATAAAAATGAATTGCAACAAATCCAAGGCTTGAGTTTAAAAAATCTAACGAGCTTAGAGGAGTTAAGATTGAAGAGAAATAAAATAGATACGCTCGAAGATGGGGCTTTCTGGCCGCTCAGAAATTTACAATTATTGCAGCTTGATTTTAATATGTTGACTGTGGTTAAAAAAGGAGGACTGTTTGGATTGGATAATCTGCGTAAACTGACACTATCGCATAACCATATATTTAAAATTGAATCCCAGGCATGGGAGTTGTGCAAAGAAATTCGCGAATTGTTAGTATATTATTAAATTGCACAGTAAAAAATTTTGTGTTAAAAATTTTTATGTTCAATATTTTTTTGTGTTGAACACTTTTTAAATTATTGTTTTTTTATATTATTATTATTATTATTATTATTATTATTATTATTATTATTATTATCACTTTTTTGTATTGATTTAACAGAATAAGTGTTAAATTTACACATAAAAGTGTTAAATATTTAACATAAAAATTATGAAAATAATGTTAGCCGATATCTAAAAAATTTTATGATTTTTTATATTAAAAATTATTAAAAGTGTTAAATATTTAACATAAAAATTATGAAAATAATGTTAGCCGATATCTAAAAAATTTTATGATTTTTTATATTAAAAAATTATTAGAAAAAAAGTAAAAAAAATTTTTTTTTATTTGTTAAAAACTTAAAAAACTATAAGTGCAATTTTTTAAAAATATTTTTTAGTTATAATTTAATAAATTAAGCAAAATAAAAAAATCAAAAATGTCGGCTAACTTTATTATTATAAAAAAAATTTTTTAACGCTATGACACAAAATTTTTTACGGTGTGATTGCAGTTTTATATATTTTATTTTTAACTTGTTAATATTTAAATAAATTAAATTTTTTTTTACAGAGATTTGTCCAACAACAGACTAACATCAGTAGAACGAGGGACTTTTGAGTATCTATTGAAATTGGAAAAGCTTAAACTCGATCACAATAAAATTTCATTCATTTCAGACAGTGCTTTCACCAGCATTCCCAATTTAAAAATTCTGTATGTATTATTCTTTTTTTTCTTTACCCTATTGTACAAAGCTGGTGTGATTTATAAGTATTTTTATTATTACTATAAATTACAGAGACATAAATTTCAACAAAATATCATACATGATTGAGGATATAACAACTGGAGCTTTTGTAGTTCTTGGTCAGTTAAAAAAGTTGGGCCTGGCATCCAACCAAATAAAATCCGTGAATAGAAACGCGTTTGGGGGACTAGAGCGTCTTGAAGAATTGGATCTTCAAGGGAATAATATAACGAGTATTCAAGAGAATGCCTTTAGCCCGATGCCGAACTTGTCCAAGCTCAAAATGAATACAGGTAAGAAAAAAGGAATAAAAAAATTCAATATATATATATTAAATACATCTGTGTAAAAAATACAATATACACCTGGCTTTTGTATACGGAAGAATAGGAGATGAATGAAAAGGTCTATTGTATTCACACAGGTGCCTTGGTGTGTGATTGTGGGCTCCAATGGCTGAGCGTTTGGCTGCGCGAGCACAGATACAACGAAGCCAAAGCGAGATGTGGATACCCTCACTGGCTAAAATCCATGCATTTAACACAATTACATCATGCTAATTTTACATGTGGTATGTATTATTTATTTTTTTCTCCTTTTAATTTATAAGGATTAAGAATTGGATTTAGGCTTAGGCGTAATTTAAAATTCAAAATGTAAAAAAAAAAAAAACGCTAGAAGTGACATTAAGCCTCTAAATGGTCACGTATATAATTCTGATTCAGATGAGTTCCCGAAACCCCGTATTATTGAGGAGCCGAGCAGCCAGATGAGTATAAAAGGCGAAAATGTCACGCTGACTTGTCGAGCAACCAGCACAGCTGACACTCCTTTACAGTTTACTTGGAAGCATGAAAATACGGAGCTGCGGGATGTCGATATTGAAACGAGTCACATAGCATCCGAAAATGGTGTAACTGAAGCATTGTCCTCGCTACACCTTATAAATGTCAGCCATGAGGACGCTGGCAAGTATCAATGTATGGTCGCAAATACCTTTGGAACTTCTTATTCTGCGAAAGCAAAAATCAGTGTTCTTGGTAAGTTTATTTTATTTTATTTTTTTTTTTTTTATTGCTACTTAATAAAAAATAATACTTTATTTCTTTGCTAATTATCTATATTATTAAGAGAATAAAAAAAATTGGGTATCCAGAATAATCATTTGATAAAATCAGTTTTTTAGTAGAATAATAGTCAATTACCGGTATTTTATTTCTAGATAGATACATAATTAATAAATGACCTTTTATCTTGTGAACTATTGACATTTTTAAAGATATAAGCTCATCCCGATGTTACACTCGTCGAGACCTTTCATTTGAGTACTCACATCAATTTTTCATATATTTTATATATTTATATATATATGTATATATGAAAAATATATGAAAAATGCATGTGGGTACTCAAATGAAAGCTTATATTTTTATAAATGTCAACAATTAAGAAAACAAAGTGCAATTTAACAAAAGTCATTATTTAAAAAAGCAAAATTTTATTTATTTATATTTCACAAACCACGGCAGTCACATAGTGACTGCAAGGTTGCTAGTACTTTATTTCTTTGCTAATTATAAATATTAATTAATGTTTTAGTATATCCATCATTTTCAAAAATTCCCCAAGACATAAGTGTAATGGCTGGAAGAACAGCTCGCTTGGAATGTTCCGCAGAAGGTCATCCTTCACCACAAATAGCGTGGCAAAAAGACGGTGGTAATGATTTTCCAGCTGCCCGAGAAAGACGAATGCACATGATGCCATCAGATCCAGTACTTTTTATAATCGATGATGTTAAAAGTGCAGATACCGGAGTATACTCTTGTACAGCGCAAAATCTCGCTGGTGTTATTGTTGCCAATGCATCAATAACAATATTCGAAGAGCCGTCTTTCGTAAAACCAATGGAGAACCGCGTTATATCTGTGGGGTCATCAATTGTCCTCGAGTGCATGGCAAGTGGATCACCACGTCCAAAACTTTTATGGCGAAAAGACGGGGTACATTTGTTGGCAACCGAGAGACACTTTTTCACTGCTGACGATCAATTATTGATTATTGTTAATACAGTATTAAGCGACGCCGGGAATTACGAATGCGAGATAAATAATACATTAGGCAAAGCAGTGGGAGTTTCTCGGTTGACCATCAGTCCAGTCTCATCACCGGTGGTTATTCAGACAAATGTATTGAGTATTGTTATTGTCGCGGTGGTAAGCTGTGTCATTGGTACTTCGATAGTATGGGTTATCATAATGTACCAATCGCGACGGCGTTCGAAGGTTGCAAAAAATTCTAATGGACAAGTGCCCATAAGCGGAGAGCCAGCTATTACCGATGGACAAACTACACAATTGTACCTGGATTCTAGTTCTCAGCACAGCAAGGATAGCGGTACCGGCGACAGTACTAATCCCGGTAAACATTTTTTTATTTTATTTTATAATTAATATTTATTATAGTAATTATTTACAAGTACGGTCAACCTTATTTTAGGCCATAACTGGGTGAAAAATTAAGATTTTTTTTTTTTTCATGTATTTAAAAAAAAAAATATGTATCAAAAAAATCAAATAGAAATTTCGTTAAAAAAATGAAAATGAAAATAGTTGACCCGACTTGTAAATATTTATTATTAAATATGACACTAATACTTATTAATAAATCCCTCAGAGGAAATAGTTACCTGTGGTACTCATAATGACGAGGATGCTGCTGCCGTAAGTGGCGAGGATCCGTTACTGCAATACACAAATCACCAGCGAAATATCCAGATAGACAGTAATGATATACCGTAAAAGGTAATAATAGACCTTTTATGGAGAGCTTACGTGAGAAAATATATATTAAAGAGAACAAAAAATATAGTATTATATGTAAATTCGTTTAGTGAGGTTTTTAAAAGTTGGAAAAAAAATTACCCATGTAAAATGTACTTCCTCTAACGACGAATTGGCTAATTGATCAGTGGCCTTGTGTCATCAATGATCGCTCAGTATTAGGATAAAGATAAACAATACAAATGAAAGATAATATTCGATATATTAATAATTAAATTTAAGACGTCTGAAAGTTATTGATGCCTTAACTACAATAGTGTAAATATTACGAACAAAATAAGCGAGCCATCTTTTGATGTTACGATATTTCAAGGCTTTACTACTACTCTTATTATTATTATTATTATTATTATTATTAATATATATATATATATATATATGAGAACTGTAGGATTAATTAATTTTTAGAAATTTGTAACATCAGCCTTTTTGTGATAGTTATTTATTTTAGATATAAGCCGGCTTCAAGGTTATTTATAGTAGAGTATTTTGAGAATGTATTTCGACGTCCCTTAGTACTGACATTGGATAATAGTTTTTTTATTTTTATTTATATACAAGCCTATTTTGTTTTTATGGTCTTCCCTGCTAAATTTTACACTCGGTATTTTTTTTTTCTTAAGATTTTAGTAAATTATTAAATTAAATATGACATTAAAGTGACCAGTCACTTGATAATATTTTTTAACAAATAAATTTGTTCTGAAAAATTATTTTTAAAAAATTCTTAAAATTATTAAATATCTGGTAAATTAATTTTTATAAATTAAATACTTACAGTCTACGTTTATTTTCAGTCAATAACTTTATACGTAACAATTGCTCAGTAAATACGGGTGAATTCCATCCAATTTTTTAAAAAAATTAAAAAAAATTTTTGAGATATTGATAAAAAATCATTGAAGTATTTATATTGAGTAAAAGTGAATAAGCACAAACTAAAATGAGTAACAACTACCTTTATAACAGTGAAGCGCTGAAATAAGTGTCTTAAAATAGTATAAGATAATAAAAAAAAATATTAATAGTTATTTAAAGAAAATAAAAAAAAAATTGAACAAATATTTTGTTTTATATTTTTAATTCTTTAAAGCAAAAATAATATTTTATCTTGTTTTAATTTTTTTTTGGCAAACGATAATAATACATTTACAAAAATCGAGTGGCTTACATGTAGTAATTTAAAGCATTTACAATATTATTAATAATTATAAATATATAATATAATACATGTGAATATTATTGTGACGAATTATACAAACTGTAATTTATGTAAAACATGTACAAGTGAAAAAAATTAACTATTGAATAACTAAAATATATTGAGTTATTATTTTACGTATAAATTAGTTTAAAAAATCTCAAAGGATATTAATATTTATAAATAAAACAGTGACACTAAATTTAATAATTGCGACAATATTTTTCAAGCCATGTATTTTAATTAAAAAATCTAATTATCTGTACAATTCTATTGCATGATACATAGCAAGAGGCAGAAGATTGTCGGGCTTTTAATTTTTACAATTTATTTCTATTCAATGTTTTATTGTGCTAAGCAATTATCGTCATCAAAAGACACTACCGTTTTGAAAAATATTTATATCACAAAGTTTCTTCACACGTAATATTACACTTAAAATCTATTTGATACACCGACAATAAATTGATATTATTCTCACAAACGTCTTGTCTAAACTTATGAAATAAAATAAAATAAAATCAGTTCTATTAAATATTTGTCAAAAAATTGAGTCTATTGCATTTATAAATAATTGTAAACTTTTAAATCAACTAGTTGCATTTAAAACATTCGCTTTGATTAAAATTACACTCGCACACTGATAGAAAGATTTCTTAGCATTTAAAAATGTTTCTTAGTATTTAAATAATATTTCTTAGAATTTAAGAAATATTTCTTAAATACTGAAAAATATTTTTTAAGTACTAAGAAATCTTTCTATCAATGCAATTACACTTACATCCCAAAAGTGCCACGTATATTAAATAATCAGAGAGTTTTTTTTATCCTTGTTTGACGTAATAATCTTCACAATTGTCAACACAAAGACTATTTGGTTAATTATCCACTTTAATTACTCGCTATTTTTAATTTTTAATTACCTAAGTGGTCAATCGTTGCTCATACTTTTTAATTCTGTATACACAATATGTTTTCGCTCATCAGCAATATTCGCAGCTTTACGCGCGCCAGTTGGAATTGATGAACTGGGAGAGCAATAATTACGCCGCTTGTACACAACCAATCTGAAATACAACAAGAGTCAGTATAACGACGCTCTGATTAAAAAAAAAATCGTGGTTTATTTATTTATTATTATTATTATTATTATTATTATTATTAAAAAAAAAGTTGGAGAAACTCGTCTCGGAGGAATGAGTCCTTGAAATAATAACGAGATTATTTAATCGAAGCTCGACGCTTAACTGTCTAATACTGAAGGAGAGACGGCCGACAATAATTATTAAATACAACATAAATAAATTAATTAGTGATAAAAAAAAATTTGTTTGTCAACTGGGGGTTACATGTTATTGTAAAATTTATTTTATTTTGTCTGTTAGTAAGTTTTGGTCGAGGAAAGTTGAGGATAAAATTAAATATTATATTAGTCATAATTTTTATCGGGCATTCAATACAAGGAAGTTGATAAATGCTAATTACGGGGTATTTATTTACTATTTATTTAAAGCATCACTCCGTTTATCTGAGGTACTTTATTTGTTATCATTTAATGACACTGGAATGTAATAGGAGCACCGGGTCATTTTTATTAATATAATTAATCATTCTCATGCTTATATTAATTAAATTTTTAATTAATAAACTAGGGAGTATTCATTTTAATTTAAGTACTAACAATAATAATTTATAATATTAAAATTAGCATTTGACTTTTTTTTAACAAATAAATTTGATCCAAAAGATTATTTTTTAAAAATTGGATTTAAAAATATTTTTTGCCATAACTTATTTGTTAAAAAAATAATCAAATATCTGCTAAATTAATTTTCATTAATGATCCTGACTGTGAGTGGGATAATTTAAGTGGAAAAAATTAAAAAAAATAATTGAATTGAACTATTGTTGAGGTAATATATGTAAAAAAGTATTTGAAAGTTGTTGGAAGTACAAAGACTCGGAGGTAAAAAGTGAACGTGGAAAATGTAATCGGCTTGCGTGGTATATACTCGTGACTAGAAACAAATCATACTAAACTGGGATTTAAATTTCTATAAATACATATATGTAATAAATATAAAATACTGTTTGTACAGTATTTACATTAATTGTTAGAAAATAGAGTTAGAGTTAAATTAATAAAACCGCGATAGATATTTCAAGTTGATTAGAATCTGTCGACAGTATATTGAATTGATTTATCAGTGGCCAATTTGGTCAGCTCGTGTAGTGTGTCTGAGTTAATCTCCAACATAAACGTATAAAAAAATAAATAAATAGACCACATGGGTAGTAATAAATAGAAGATCGAAGCTGCTAAGTCTGTAATTATCTGGAACAAACAAACAAATTAACAATTAATTACCGGAACTAAAATAGAAGTAGGTAATAATAACTGAGTGATATATACTACATACCTCACCCAATAATTCCTGCGGCGATAGTTATGATGAATGCAAGTAGGGCAGTCATCATTTGTCCAGCAGTTGATACCCCGCTCACTGTGTTCGGTATTAAATTTTCCAGGTCCGATGGGCTGTCATCAAGCATAGTTGGAATAAACCGACTGTCTGCTGAAAGGCTGCTGTGGTATTTGTTTAATAAATCTAAAATAAGACCATTTGACCAACCGAAGCCCAGCTGCACTGTGTACTCTCCACCGCCGCCTCCGCTGCCCGAAACAGTTGCGTCATACTGCAAGATTAATTCATTTTTATCAAGTCTTGAATTTCTGCTTTTTCAAGGTTTCATTTCATATTCATCGATAGTCAATTTATTATAAGTATTTAGGCTGCATTCGAAAATTATCGATCTCTAGATACATAATTACGAAATGACCTTGTATCTTTTGAACTATTGACATTTTTAAAGATATAAGCTTATCCCGATGTTACACTCATCGAGACCTTCCATTTGAATACCCACATCAATTTTTCATATATTTTATATATTTATTATCATATATGTATATATGAAAAATATATCAAAAATGCATGTGGGTACTCAAATGAAAGCTCTCGATGAGTGTAACATCAGGATGAGCTTATATCTTTAAAATATATATTATACGTATATGTATATATGAAAAATATATCAAAAATGCATGTGGGTACTCAAATGAAAGCTCTTGATGAGTGTAACACCGGGATGAGCTTATATCTTTAAAAACGTCAATATTTAAAAAAGTACAGTGGAATTTAACAAAAGTCATTATTAAATAAAGCAAAATTTTGATTTTTTATAGTTCACATAGTGACTGCAAGGTTGCTATTTGATGTAATATAAAAAAAAAAATTAATAGAATAAAGTAATTACCTTTTCAAACATACTGTGATTAGCTTTAAAAGCTTTGTAATTACTTCTCACCCATATCTCACTGAGCTCATAAGCCAGTCTCTGCGCGTGGATATCATTGCAATTATCTAGAGCCATGATAACAAAATATTGCAGCGGCGGCCAGGCATTAGGATAGTCCCACTGCTCGCCAGAGTGCTCAAATGTCGCGGGAATACCACCGAGATTCAGCATTATTTGACTTTTGTCAAGATACTTGAGGGCTTTGTCGACGTAGTACTCGCGCTTGGTGATGTCGTAACACTCGGTCCAGAGTGGGAGAATATTAGTTGGATAGAAGTAGTCGCGTTTCACGCCATTTAGGATATCATAGTCCAACCAGGCTCCCACGTCGTCGTGCCAGAGCACTGCGTCGATAGCTTCTTTCCATTCCTCGGCTATCTGACGATACTTTGCGGCTTTGTCAAAGTTACCCATCATGTCGTTGAATTCAGCCAGTAAAATAGCGTTACGGTAAATAATTGCATTGAGATCAACCGGGACAATGTATCTTGTTTTGAGATTACTCAAATTGCCTAATTTTTAAAAGAAAAGATCATAAAATTTATATTATATTATTTACAAGCTCATAAGTAAATATTTAAATATTTACACATGACGTTTTATTATTTGAATTTACCTTTGTTTGTACCGTCGAGTATAAACCAACGACTAGAAAAATCCCAGCCTGACTCAGCCGCGCTTTTTATTTCTTTGTAATATTCTTCTTTTTCTTCACCGCCAAGATTTTCAGCTGCCATAATATCTTCCCTAAAAATATTTAATTAATTAATTAATTAATTATTAAATTTAGCTGTCACTTTACAATTTTTTAATTTTATTCAACAAAAAAATTATTTTCAAAAAATTGCATTTTTAATTTATTAAAATTTCTAGATATCAATTTTTTTTATAATTTTTTTTTGCCATAATTTATTTGTTAAAATTATTTAAATTATCAAATATCTGCTGAATTAATTTTAATTGATAATTTTATAAATTATATTATTTTTTATGATTATTATTAAATAATATTTTTATAAAAAAATATTGTACCGGTAAGATTCAGGCCTAGGTCCGCTTGAATTTTCATAATATCTAGCTAAAGTATAATTCCGTCCATCCTTCTCAACCTCAACAGTGCGATTGGTCATCCAAAATTCAAATTCCTTTTCAAGCAGCCAAAGATTTTCTTTCAGCCACTCAGTGTCATTAGTATCATCGATATAAATTTTAACCATGGGAGTCAACATCGGCGGCTGAGATCTCATGGTATAATAAATTCTTCCTCCATTAGGAATGAATCCAATCTGCTTGACAATGGACACAAAGTTAGTCAGCATTCCCCGGACCGTAGCATGCATCTCCGACAGCAAAAGTCCTTTAATTATCCAGTAAGAGTCCCAGTAATAGAACTCGCGGAACCTTCCACCGGGTACAATCACGGGATGAGGTACGTAGAGAATCGAGTAGAGATTCTGGTTAATACGAACGTCGTCCTTCATTTTTCTCCCCAGCAGCTTCCAAATGTCATTGAGATCAGACGCAAATTTACGCAAATTCGGGTCTTTAATACTTTTCAAAAATTTCGGCTCCTTTCGCCAATCAATGGGGTTCCAGTCTTCAAACTCAGAGCCCGCTTCGTCAAAATTGTCTTCTACAAAGCGTTTTATTTCTTCTGGAGGTGGAGGCCGCTCTTTTATGTGGCTCATCATCGTCTCAAATTTCTTGAGAGTTTCTTCAGGAGTGTACTTCATTTTCATGTCGACGAATGTCTTGGAGTCGGGAAATATTCGGGACATTTGTACTTCATGCAGTAAATCTCCATGACAATAAATATTGCTGCAATAATAATTATTCTTAATTATATTTTATCTTTTAGATTAAAAAAAAAAAAAATTATAAATTGTATAAATAATTAATCTTAATCTTAAAAAAAATATACAATAAATTTTTTCTCTCTCACTCTTCTTCCTCTTTTTATTGCATTAAAAATAATTTATGTATCAATTAGTATTTAAAATAAAAAATATTATCCTGATAATCTGTCTAAAGAATAATTATATTAATCAATGATTAATGTATCTTTAATTGTGGAAAATTCTAACTACGGAAACTATTGGTACAAGCCTTGAAAATGTCTAGCGAATGATAAATGCACGTTAAGATTACAAGAGAAGAAAAAATAAATAGACCGGCAAAAATAATTTATTGTGATCTTTGAATTGAATTGATTACTGTAAAAATTCAGACGGTCATTTAAATGAAACAAATTATTTAAAGAAAATAAGAAACAGAGAGAAAAAAAAATAAGTACGGTCGGTGACTTGACCGTCAAGACGAGGGCTCGTCCTTGGTCCAATTCCCGTGACACACCCGACCGCACTAAGTTATTCTTTGCACATTTTAATCCAACACGGAAATAAATTACATATAGATATTTTATTATTTATTTAGCTAATAATCTCTGCAAGGATAAAAGAGAGAGAAGAAAATATTGTATTTGTTCGATTAAGAAACAAACTTACCTTTTGCATGGCGGTGGTTCTATTTTTTGCAGCGCTTCACTTGCCGTTGCTACTACCATCACTTCCAGGAGAATTAATAAACTGGACATCATTTTAATTGATAATTTTGAAGTGTCCTTTAGAGTTTTCATCACGAGTTTTTTTATTTCTTCTCTTATTATTTATTATTTAACTAATACTTCTCTTGTTTAAATACTCACTTAATCTTGTTAAATAATTTTTTTTCTAATTAAATAGCCCTCACTTACAATAATAAACTAGCGTTTTTAACGCCGAGGTAGTTTGGTTAAAAGAAATAAGGGAGAAGAGAGTGAGAGAGAGAGAGAGAAATAGAGAGTGTGTGCCTGCACTTGACTCTTTTAACAAAAATATAGTGTATAAATATCACAAAAAATTAAAAATTTAGCTGAAGACAGTTAAATAAAAATATTTCGGCGAATGGTCTATTATCGTCGGCTTACTTTCTTGTAATAGGGTTGAAATGACTCCCCGGTGATTTGCGCAATTTGCGCGAAGGTTTTTGTTTCAGCAAAGCCACATTTTTTCTGAAAAAAAAAAAAAAGAGAGAAAAAAATTGTTAATTATTTTTAAAAACACAAATAGAATTTGGCTGAAGATGAATTACTTTAGTTGAAAAATAAATCAAAAAAAAAAAAAAAATAAATAACAACTATGTTGTCGCGCAAGTTCTATTCACGGCTTTCAATGAAAAATTTAGCACTACACGTTGTAAGGATCCTGACGCAATTCTGCTTTCAAAATAGATACTTGTAATCCGTCCAAGACTTTTAAAAGTTAAGTAATTATGTATTTACTTGAATGTTACAAGCCAGGCAACTAACTATCAATTAGTTGATAACTGCATCGATAAACAGTTATTTCTGAGAATAAATTTTTCGGTACGATAAGATAATATAAGGTTGTTTGAAAAAAAAAAAAAAAAAAAAAAAAAAAAAAAAAAAAAAAATTTCTCATTTTCCGATGAAAAATAAGAATAAATAAAAATTACTATCACCTTGTTGTCTGTTATCGTGATCAACGTTGACTCGCGACTAACTTGGACAACTCGCAACTTTTATTTGCGTCGAGAGGCGGAATCACCGCTGTCATCATCGTCTTGATCCCCGGACAACGCTTTAGTTCTATTCGTTAAAGTCATTGGAAAATAAGTAGCAGCAGATAAGTAGTAGAGGTGGTAAAAGAATAACTGCAGAGAAGGGAGTGCAAGTTTGGCTCCCAAGGTGTTGATTCAGTCATATTGGACAATCTCACCAATGAAATATTTTTTAAAAAAATAAACAACTGAAAAAAACATTCGACCACTGACTAAATTAATTAAATAAGCACTGGTCATGGGTTAAATAATTTGCGCCCAATTTTCACGTGCTACCGGGTGGAAAAATAAAATTTATGTGATCAAAAATACCAAGCATCACTACCCAGTAACATACGGGGTGATGGATTGCTCACCCGCTGTGTGTACTAACCGGTCATTAATGTATGTACTTGATACTATTATATACACACAGATTATCTTGTAAATGTTTAGTACTATACTCTGTGCGAGGAAGAGAGATAAGATGAAGATCGAGCCTCCGACCAACAGCTCTGGGATTGGTCGATTTGGAGGAATGTTGCCCCGTGCCTCTTTCTTTTAACTTATGTGACGTTGTATGCTTGCGTCAGCATCAACTTTCCCAATCAGAGCCAGTTCAGCGTATCAAAACACGTTTTGTATATACGTTATCACTGGCCCCACGTTGCATGTACCCTTATCACCTGGAATTATTTCTTCAATTATATCTTCAACCTAAAGATATTTTTATATTAATTATTTTATCTTTGAATTAGTATCATTAACTTATTTACAATGTACGACCTTCAGAGCCTGAGTCAATATCTTGAAAAATCTGCCAGCAATTTTTGGGATAATTTAAAAGAAGAAAATATAACAAGCAATATGATGATAAATGACAGAATAATTCTGTGGCTGATTCAATTGTCCAAGAAGCGCTTCTTGGAGCTTAATAATGTAATTTGGTATTCTTAGCACAAAATAGGATGATGGATATAGACGTGTGACAAATAAAGCGAACTATCTATCCCTTACAGGAGGTCAATACACTCGGTAGAAACGAGGAGATTAAGTCTAATTCCAGCCACTGATTCTACTTTGGTCAATAAGGATATCATCAATTATGGGCTTAATAATCAATGATTACAACAGACAGCGAAATTGTCAGCGTTATCGAGTAAGTCAGCCAAGTAAGAATTTAGGGATGACTTTATTGATTATTATGTGACTAAAAAATGAAGATTTGATGCAAGTACACAGAATTGAATCAAGTAAATAATTTTGAAGAATTTCAATGAAAATTAAAGTAGCAGATATTTCATAAATTTTAGAATTTTTTTAAGAAATAAATTATTGAAAAAAAAATTGTCATGTAGAAATTTTAAAAAACTAAAAATGCAATTTTTTAAAATTAATTTTTTGGAAGAAATTTTTTTGTTAAATAAAATTAAAAAATTTTCAAGTGACTGCTAACTTTAATGTCGTAGAATTTCATCTTCTTGATTTGAGTAGAAAAATTCTTAAACTAAGAAATTTTTCTTTAAGTAAATTTTATTTAATTCAAAAATTTTTCGTCTTGATTCAAGACAATGACACTATTCTTGGTTCAAGAATTTTTCTTTTGATTGAATTAAATTTTTTTTTCAGTGTATTAAATCTTATAAATTTTAATACTTACAATAATGTTGAAACGGGAAAACAACTGATCAATGTCCAAGATATTGTATCTTAAATAATGCAATTATTCTCACTCACGAGATCTTACTTGCAAAATGATAAAAAAAAAAAACTGTTTGATGGCCTTGACGAATTTCTTCAGAAATACCGGATTTAATTTTTTTTCTAATTTATTAAAACAATTATTTTGTTATATAACTTCACCATTAACAAGGAACTGTACTGGTACGTCAAAGGAAAGAAAGAGAATGTGAAGAATATCACGTAGAGCTTCAATGCACAACTGAGGAGCCAGATTTCATCAGACTCCAATTAAGTAAAAGAACTCCTATAATTGTTTTATTTGGATAATCTTTGTTTTATGAATGTAGGCGGGGTTTGCCGCGTTTTAATTTCAAATTTACTTTATTATATATCTACCAGATTAACACCTCTTATCATTAGTTGACAGATTATACTTTTTGAAATGAGTAAACGTGACTATTTGACCGACGGTTGATGAGCTGACCCTAATGACAGTAGCAGCCAGCCCAAGTTGGACTGGCCAAGGACTCTCAAGGACACCTATTCATCGAGTCAAACACCACTACACCACAAGGTACTTGTCGCTCCGATATGTCTGAGAAAAAAAGATTTTACTAAATGAACCACGTGGTCAGTAGACAATTAAATAAAAATGTTAAGACTTATTGTTTCCTCCTAATTGTAAATAGTTGAGCTATTCTACTGTAATACAGGTTATTAATTTAAACCTTGAAATTGCCAATTTATTGCAGTGTTATTAAATCCACGTGGTAGCGTTCTATTGCAAGAATCAAGGTCCCTGTCGCGCATCATTGTCAGTTAATTAATAATAAATATTCATTATAAATAAACATTAGTACATTACCTCATAATTAAACGTTGTCTTAATAGTACCAGGTGTAAATTTATCAACTCACTAGTTGCTGTTTAAATGGCAATTATATTTTTAAATTTAATATTCAAAACACTTATTGCACTTACTCTAGTTACCACCACAATACACCTATTAGAGTAAACGATGACATGAAATACGTGATCAAATTATTGATAAATATTTGAAAAAAAAAAAAAAAAAAAAAAAAAAAAAAAAAGACACAATTGCTATTTTAGCACTGAGAAGAACTGACCTGCTATTCTGACCAGACTGATGAATATCAACCGACTACTATATCAAGATGTATGTTGAACGGTAATGAGATCAACAACTTGCCCTCATGGCATGTACAGAGAGTGTTTCAATTGCTGACCGTCAATTGCACTAGTGATTCATGTCCTGTTTTAATATGTATGCCGATCTGGACGCTCCCTGATCTATCAACTTGTCACGTTTATTTTAGCTGCAGATTTTTACTTAACAAGTTTTTACGCTGTCAAACTTTTTAAATATTATTTTTGTTTCTTTTAATGCAAGTGACATTTTTTGCAGCTAAATAAATATTAAATTTAAAATGAATTATTGATGTAAATAATCATTGTTATTATATTTATATAACACATTAAAATTTTTTTCCTGATGAGTGAAAAGAAAAATATTTATTGCAATGCAATTTTAAAAGGATTTACAAATTTCAATGTCATCGAGCGACATCAAACGTCATTTTAAGACACTACAGCCGTATAATAAATGATGAAACTCTTAAAAATATATAATAATAGTACATATCTGCAATTGTAGAATTGTTTGTCTAGTACATGCTATCTCCTAAACAACAATGTCTTTGATAATTACTTATGATACTGAAGTTTGATGACAACTGTCAATTTTTTTAATTTTTATAACAATAAAAAAAATTTCCACTATTTTTTTTTAATTTTCACATGAGAAATTTTATAAATAAATTTTTTTTTATAAATTATAAACTTCAATCATTAATTAATTACTTACCTATCAAGCAGCTGATACCGCAGCAATTTTTCATTTATTTTACTGCAACGAATATCAAATAGCTGGACATCTCTTAAAATTTTAGAGTTTTTTATTTTCTTGCTGATTGATTTATGGAAATTTTTAGCACAATAAAAAAAGCGAATCACAGAGTTTGCTGAGGCTGTACCTCGGGTTTGTTGCACAATCAACATGATTAGTTTAGTTTGTCTGTAAATAAATTATTTACTTTTATTATTAGCCATTTAATTAAAGCCGTTCAGCTGAGCACAACACTCGGTACTTTACTTTATTATTTACTAAATCACTGTCAGTAAATAGATTAAAACTTATATTCAGATAACGCTTGTTTTTTAACTACCTAACAATTTTATTTTGTTTACCTGACGCAATTTTCAGTCTCGTGAGACAATAAGATAATAAATAGAATTAACTATTGGAGTAATAATCACTGTCATGTGTACAAACTGTAATGTCTAAAATGTAGGTAATATGTATATGTTTATCTATCTTGAATTCGAGTTATATCGAATCAGCTGATCGGTCGATTTTTCGAGAACTCTGTAGTTCTATATTATTTGCATGTCAGATTTAAATTGTACTCACAGCTGCTCGGAAATTATATTTATTTAAAACGTGTTAATTAATTAATTCAATAAATCGGTCGCAAAAACAATTTATTAATAAAAAGTATAAAATTAAATTTAATTACATTCAATTTTTTTTTTTTTTTTCTTTTAAGACATTAAAGTTAGCAGTCACTAGAGAATTTTTTATTTTTTTTTTTTTAACAAAAAAATTTGTTCCTAAAAATTATTTTAAAAAAATTACATTTTTTTTTTTCATAATTTATTTGTTAAAAAAAATTCTAAAAATTATTAAATATCTGCTAAATTTATTACCTATCATTTTTTTTTTTTTAATAAGATTGAATTATAAAATCGTCAATTTAATCTATGACGTATGTACGTACACAAATTAATAAATAACTTTAAATATTAGATTCCATAAAAAAATTGTTTAATCACCGAGGTGTAATAATACAAGTGTTACAATATTTGTTCTTATTAACTAGGCGTTGTTAAATAGATCATGAAATACTGATAATGATAACAAACTAAAAAATTAAAAAGAAAATAAGATTAAAATGTTGATTAATACTGTATGGTCAATTCTACTCGGGAATATTTTATAATGATGAAATAAAAATTAAAATGATGTTAAAAAAAAAATTAACATTTAAAATTTAATTTTTTGACCACTACTAAACAGTGATGATAATAAATGACACACTTGAATATAAAAATTGTCGAGATAATTAAAAAATAGTGATGATAAGTAATATTTACACTAGAATTTACAACTAACGTGTTTTTGTACAAAAAAATTTCGCAAGCATTGTCACAAGTCGATTGAAGTTATATTAAACATATATATTTTAAGTAAAAAATACGAGTCGCTTAAAATGGACCTGCAACGCTGACTCTTAGTAGCCTTGACTTAATTAATTATTTAATGCATCATTTTGTGAAGTTTTAATATTTTTCCTAAGCGTTGTTTAGCAGTCTTCATTCCTTTTCTCGGTTTACGCTCTGAAAAAATATTTAATTTTTTTATTACGTCAATGTCATTCAAAGAAATGATTACTCAAATGAAAAACAAATAACTTACCAACAGGAACAGGCGCTGCTAATTTAGCTTTAACGTCTTTCAGTCTATTAGGGCTTGTCAGGATAGAAGTGAATCCACTGGTGACCTGAACTGGTTCAGCAATCGGTTCTTCAAGTTTCGCCGAGCTTGTTGGGATAATTCCATTAGGAGCAGGACGTTTTTTCAATTTATTGTACACTCGTTTTGGACTTGATTTTTGATTCTATTAAAAATGAAATTAATTAATTATCAAATTATCAGTCACTTCATAAAAGTCAAATTAAAAATTAAAACATTAATTAAATAAAAAAAACTTACCGGATGTTTTGCGCGTTTAGCCGCAGCAGCCTCAAGTCCTTTCTCTACTGAAGTCTTTTTAGCTCCTTCACGAGCTGGTCTGTTAGTTTTAGGTAAAAGAGGTCCAACACGAGCCTTCGGGTTCCAGGCTTCGTCGACTCGTCTCTTTCCTCGGGGTTTAAAAATATATTCGTCATCGTCGGAAGCATCTAGAGCCGGATAAACTGAAATTCATTCATTTTTTTTTTTTTTATAATTCTGTTATTTATAAAAAATTTATATTACTATTGGAAATGAATACTCACTAAAGTCTTCATCTTGGTGGACTTTGTCGATGTTTTCAATTGACTGATCGTCTTCATCATCATACTCGACTTTCCTGGACGACTTATCGCTTTTTTTCGAGCTTCCGGATTCCGTTGAGTAACACTGCTCGCTGAAGGAAAGCATTCCAGCAATAGCCTCACGTGTGGACGGCGATGATCTGTCGGAACTTATTTTTTTCAATTTATAAATACAGGGTCATCGATTAAATAAAATACCTGAGGTTATTTTATCTAACGATTAAGGAAAAAATTTATTAATTAATAGAGCAAAGACTTACCCAACTGGAGGGGGATTTGTAAGTTGATTTTGCAAAATTGACGTTGGTACGCTAGAAAATATTTTTATAAAATTGTTTATTATCATAGATAACTAAGAAATGACATAGTATCTTGTGAACTATTGACATTTTTAAAGATATAAGTTCATTCCGATGTTGTACTCATCAAGACCTTTCATTTGAGTACCCACATCAATTTTTCATATATTTTATATATTTATATATATTATATATATATATAGATGTATATATGAAAAATATATCAAAAATGCATGTGGGTACTCAAATGAAAGCTCTTGATGAGTGTAACATCGGGATGAGCTTATATCTTTAAAAACGACAATATTTAAGAAAGTCCAGTGCAATTTAACAAAAATCATTATTTAATAAATTTAGAGCAAGAAAATTAATTTAAAATCATACCTAGGCTCTATTCTATTGCCAGTCGAAGATAAAGTGTAAACTGAGGCCTTAAGAAGCTCCTCTATACCATTTTTCGGAACTTCACCAAGTAAATCATCATCCACAGCATTTGCTGTATTATTAGCCGCCTTTTTAGTTTTTTTATTCGCATTATTTTTACAGGACTTTTTCCGCTTTGGACCCTCGTCTATTGTAAATTTACCACAGTCACTTTCATTACTACCATCATGAAAATCGTAAATAGAACTCTGCTTCCATGTAAATTCTTTTGGCGTTTCAATCGTTGGGTCAATTGCAAAATTACCAAACACGTTTCCTTTGTCACTAGTGCTACGCACGACTTCATTGTCGCCCAACTTGAATCTTATCACTGTCGGGCTCTGTTTGCCTTGTTGGTTTTTCGCACGTTTACGGATCACCGCATTAGACGCCACTTTGCTCTCTATAATATCAGAACATACAGACTTATTGAAAGGGTAGGAAGCGGATTTTGGCAGTGTTAACTTTAGACACGATTTAATTGGCGACGGATTTTTAGTCGGTGAATTTTCAGTTTTTGTTTTACCACTTAGCGTTGCTTTGAAAGCATTTTCAGAGAGTTTGTCAGCTACATCAAAATTGATAAAATCTTTGTTAATTGGTTTTCTTTTTTTTCTTTTACTTTCGCGTTCCGGCTTGGGGGGATTTAGAGCCAGTAAAAATCTTTCTGCGTGTCTTATTTCTTTGCTCAGTTCTTTCAATAATTTTGGACTATTCACCGACGGCGGTATTTGGCCTCGACTAATAGTGCTGTACTGAAAAAAAAAAAAAAAAAAAAAAAAAAAAAAAAATCAATTATTAACAAATTTAAATTATTAAATAATAAATTTAAAAAAAATTATTAAACATCATTTATAAAAGTAATTACGTCTTTGTCAGTATTCCATTGTTTAAGTATCGCCAAAAGAGCCTTGACACCTTGTAAAAAATAAGAAGGGCATTTTTTATCTTCGCGGTTCAATTCTTTAAGCTCCTTAAGCAACCGTTTAGCCGCAAACCAATTTATCGTTTCAAAGCCAGGGTATTGAAATTTTTGAGGCGTTTTTACTTTACGCTCCAATTCATAAATTCTAAAAAAAAAAAAAAAATTACATATCAATATTGTTTAAAATTAATCTTATAAATAAAATAAAAAAAAAAAAACTAACTGTATTTGCATAGGAATGTTGAGACTGTGAATAAAATTCCCGCCAAAAACTAAAGAATCAACAGGAGTTAGCACCGCATGGATCCACCCCGTGGGAATCATCATAGTCTGACCTTGTTTTAAGACACATTTATAACAAGTGTCAACTTGGTCACCAAAAAACGTTTCACTCTGAGTGGAACTACTCATCCACTGTTGATACAGTTGTAAATTCGCCGGTGTGGGTCTGATAAGATAAAAAACCTTTTCTCCTCTTAGCACGTGGTACCAGACAGACGTCCCGCCAAAATCAATGTGAAAATCGGTGAAACTGTCTTTCACACTCATCAAACAGTACTTCTGCACCTCTGGGCGCTTTAACAGGCTGGTTTCAGGCATATCTCGCGGCCAGACTGAGTTAACCCAGTCGAGCTTCCGCGCTACGATTGGAGCCTCTATCATCGGCGCTAAGCTGTAATTTTAATTAATTACTCCGTTAATATTTTACTTATTTCTATCATTTTTAATATTAATTTCATCAATATTATACCCAGTATCAGTAAATTCGAGGCTGATGACATTTAGCACTCGTGTTCGATGAGGATTTGTGTAATATTCAACGAAATCTCTCAGTGACATTTTCATATTATTTTGTTTAGTCACATCAATTACGTCTATATCTCTGTCACCGCCTAAATAACATATTTAAATATTAAAAATAAATAAAAATTATAAGTAAAAAAATGCACTTAAAATTTTTCAAATTTTTTACATGTGCAATTTTTTCTTTTAATTTTTTTGTAATAATTTTATTAATAAAAAAAAATTCTAAAAATTGTCAGCTGTCTGCTAATTTTATTTACATACAAATAAATCAGATAGCTGGCTTTAATGTCATAATTTTTTTTTAATAAAAAAATTTCCAAATGTCTGAATTATAATATAAAAAACAAACCTATAAATTTTTCAACATCATGAACAGTAAATGTCGGTGGAGGTAGTGTCATATCCAAGCCTTCTTTATTGTCAACAATAATAGGGACTTCAAAGCCGGTTGTTTGTAAATATTGCAACGTCAATTGTTGTCCTCGAACGTGTTTGACAACTTCATCAGCTTTAGGAAAATGCCTGGACTTGAGCTCGTGTATAAAAACAAATGTACCTGTTTGTACTGGTTTAGATTCAGCATTAACGTCAGTGTACTCATGGCGGTGATTATTCATTCTTAGTTTAGCTAGAATAATAAAACGAATTTTATAATAAAAAATTAGCATGACAACTAAATATGTCATTGAATTTTAGACAATGGTACTCACGAAGTGATGGACCATGAACACATTCACACTCTGGGCAGTGAAATTTGTCCAATTCTGTGGCTGCGTACTCCTTAATACCGATACACCTGGTCAAAGTCAAAGAAAGAAAATTAATGTTGTTGCTTTTCTCTAAATAAATCTTGGCATCATCAGCATTGAGGTTATGTCGTCCACAACAAAACAAAGATATCAAAGATAAAAAAAATGGGGAAATTTTGGAGTGTTGACACATTAAAGTAATGGTAAAAAATTATGTTTCAAAGCAGCTAAGAAAAAAGCAAGGATATGAATAGTTTTATTGTTTAAATGATAGCAAATAGAGAGGTCCTGAAGCTCCAATGATCGGCTGAAAAAATAAAAACTTACTCTCCATGGTACCACTTTTTACAAACATCACACTGGATCATAAACTGATCAGGGTTGTAAGTCTGCCCACATAAACAATAAGTCATTGTTTCATCAGTCATCATGGTTAATTAATTTACTTTATTTATCACGTTCTCTTTAAAGTTATTGTAAAATTACATTAGCCTCGTTGCCTGGGTTAATGTTACTACTGGTAGTGGGGATATTTAGGATATTTAGCTGCCAAATAAACGATCGCCGCCATGAAAATTCGAGAAGCGACCTCAGGCGCTGCTGCCCTCTTCTGGCTGTTTTAATAAAAAGTATAACACTGAAGTTAGCCGTCAGCTGTCAATTTAAAAAATTTTTTTAACAATAAAAAAATGCTTCTAAAAATTTTTACTTGTAATTTTTATTAAGGAACTTTTTAATTAAATTTTTTTATAATAATTTAATAGCTATAAAATTAAAAAAAAAAAATATTTTTAATATCTGTCATTAAAAAGTGGCAAATTTAAAAAAAATTTCTAGTCAATAAAAAACTTGGCAAGAAGAATTTTATATTTCTTCTGAAGAAGATGATGGATTAAATATTAATATAAGAAGACATTTTAAATTGTCTTTTTAAAATAATTTAAAAAAAAATGTTTTCTCAAAGAAGAAATAAAAAATTTATTTATTTTAAAATAATTTTTAGTGAAAAAATAAAATTGTGAATTTTTAAGGAAGAAATAATTTTTTTATTACATAATATCAGAGTTATTACCATTTATTAGTGATAAATCCACGAAATAAGATGACTCGGAAAAATAAATAAATGATGAATGAAATCATCGAAGCGTTTGAATTCTCGGTAAAACTGAAAGTTTATCTAATCAGCAAGACGATGGCCTTTCAGACCCTTGGTCAGTTTCAGAGACCTTTAAACTACTAAACTGTCGGGTCAGATTGTCAGTTTTACGATTCTGAGCGGTAGTAGATGATCTACGTTAAGCGCATCGCATTCTACCAATACTCTCTACCACAGCAGGAAGTACTTGTTTAACGGATAGTGTGTGGACAACAGGCAGACCAGGGATTTTAGTTATTCTCCCGATGATTTGACTGGACAGATCATTCGAGCGTACAAGTCAATCAGTCGCCCTTATTAGTTGGCGCAGTTCACTTCTCACTTGAGTCGTGATACTGATCATCCGAAATGGCCAACAGACTTTTCATCTATTTACTTCTGATATTTTTCGTATTCAACGTTCCAATTCTCCACTCAGGTAACATTATTTATTATCTTCAGATTTTATTTTATTCTTTTCTTCTTTTTCATTTTTATTTTATTTTATTTCTCTGAATTTCGCAATAAACTAATGCGCATTTTCAGTTTCTTGTGTAACTTCTTATCAAAAGTTTGACAAACAACATTTCATCAAGATCTCTTTCCAGGAAGTTATTTTAATCATTAATGAAAATTCAATCATTTTTAGAATTTATCTAAGAAATAAATTACTGTAAAAAAAATTGACATTTAGAAATTTTAAAAATAATTTTTCATAACAAATTTGTTTGTTATATAAAATAAAAAAATAGTTAAGCTATAGACTGCTAACTTTAATGTAATTAATAATTGATTTTTATTTTTAGATGCTGCACACGAGCCTCAAATTTGTGGCCGGACAAAATGCAGTGGTAAGTATTTTTTTTTTCAAAATAAATATATATTAATAAATAGTTTTCTTTAAATAAAATAAAAAAATTAATCCAGTTGGCAGCGAAGCGAAGTTCAAGTACTCAAAAGGGATAGTATATAAATACCAGCACCAAGTAGACGTGAACATCAACTTAGGAAATGGATCCAGCACCTCAGAGCTGCACATCGAGTCTACAATCTCTCTAAAATTTTTAACCCCCTGCGAAGCAGAGTTGCGAGTGACCAAAACAAGTATCCGTCATGCAACACGAGGAAAATACGACGCGGATTTCCCAGACCGGTCTGAAGCGGACTTCAAAGAAGCCCTGGAGCACTACAGTCTCCGATTTGCATTCGAAGACGGGCAGGTCCGGGAGCTGTGTCCGAATTCCGAGGACCCGATTTGGGCGATAAATATTAAGCGAGGGATTCTGTCAATGCTTCAAAACACCATGAAGAGATTCGACGTGGACCATCACACAGACGAGCTGGACGTGAACGGAATCTGCGACACGCGTTATCGTCTTCACGAGGCGCGCAAGACTAGTTTGATCATCAAGAAGAGCAAAAATTTGAACGGGTGTAGCAATAGAGGCAAGCATTTGTCTATAATTCAGTCTAATACTTACGCAAGTCCCCGAACTCACACCCAAACTGCGCTAGTCGACTCCCAGTATGACTGCGATATTGTTTTGGACCACAATATTTATGAAAAAGTGACTTGTCAAGAGTTTCATCGTCTTCAGCCGCTGTCCAGTGGCGACACTGGAGTGAGGACGGAAATTTACTCAAGCCTCGTGCTGGTTGAAGAAATCGAAGCTGATTTAAACGCCGAGGATGAGGAGAACGAGTTTGGAAGCAGGGAAGATGATGAAGCTAAAGACAGCAAGCCGGCAAATTCTAAAATAATCCCCACGAATTTATTGTACGACCATTCAGCGACTGCTTTTTCCAGTCGAACGATTCACGGAGAGCTTAGAACGACGCGAGATTTACTGAAGAACATGTGTCTTCTCGGGTCTAGCAGTCAGCTTGAGCAAGCATTCTCGGAGTACTTCAGCAAATTCGTGCATTCCGCCCGGTTCCTCGATTATTTGTCACTCTCTCAGCTGCTGGTCCGCGCGGAAGGAACTTGCGAGGGCGGAAGGAAGCATGTTCTAGATGCGCTTCCGTTTATCGGGACCAGCGCGGCTGTTAAGGTGATGCGTGACGCAATGCTGAAGAAAACAATCACCAAGGAAAGGAGCGAGTCCTGGATAACCGCAATAGCTCTGATACCAAGACCAGATGCTTCGACGGTCGCGGCATTGTTGCCTTTGCTGGAGCTCGAGCGTGAAGACGCGAACGGACATTTAAATCTCGTTTACTCGGCGGTCGTTCGAGCATTCTGTCTCCACAATATCGGAAATACTGCGAGCCAAAGACTGCAGCCGAGCTTTTTGCACTCCGACGACTGCTTAAGCATCGGAGGAACCGGGATAGATCGATTTCTCGATCACCTGGAATCCTCCATCGAGACCGGGTGTGCTCCCAGAGCCCACGATGACGAAGAAATAAAACGAGTGGGTATTTATAGATAGCCGATTTATTTTCCATTAGATTATTTTTTTTAGGAGGGTTGAATTAATGTTTGGGCAATAAATTTGAATATTTTTACAGACTTTGGAAGCTCTTAAAGCCATTGGGAACATGGGACTTGAAAGAGATGGACTGCTAGATAAGCTCAAGGTTTGTATGGAGAACAAAGGAGGATTTATCTCTATGGAGACAAGGATAGCGGCTATTGACGCCCATCGGCGCTTACCTTCTTGCCAGAAAACTCGTGACCGTGTTTTCCTTCCCTACTATCGGAATGTCACCCTTGAACCTGAGATACGAATTGCCTCTTATTTACAAGCGATGCGCTGTCCTGATTATAATGTTGTCAAAACGATAAAGCATACTCTCAAAGAGGAGCCTATCAATCAGGGTAAATAGCTTTGGTTTTTAGAAAATTAACTTTTATCTTAAAAATTTTAGTTGAATATTTACAAGAGGGGTCAACTATTTGAATTTTTATTTTTTTAACGAAATTTATATTTTATTTTATTGATATTTTTTTTGAAAAATATATAAAAAAATGAACAATTAAAAAAAAAAAATTATTATTACAATTTTAACAAATTAAAAAAAAATTGTGATATTCATTTTTTTAAATTGTTCATTTTTTATGTACTTTAAAAAAAAAAAAAAAAAAAAAACATCAAAAAAAGATAAAATAGAAATTTTATCCAAAAACATGAGAGCCAAAATTTTTTCCAACTTTTGAAGGCAAAAAAACTATAGAAATCTTTATTTTTTTCTTTAAAGACATTTTTTATTATAAATGCACCGTAAATAATTATAAAATTTTATTTTCATAAAATATTTTTTTAGTTGGATCATTTGTCTGGAGTCATTTGACAAACTTGATCGCCTCGTCATCGCCGACGAAAATTCAGGTCCAAAGTTTGCTCTCCGATCGGGATTTGAGCGATAAGTTCAACAGCGATGGAAGAAAATACTCCCGTAATTACGAGAAATCATTTTTCTCCGAAGAATACAATGTTGGCGGTACCTTCCAGGCGAACGTTATATTTTCATCTAAATCATTCGTACCGAGAACGCTGACATTTAATATAAGTCTGGACTTATTCGGAGAATCGGTCAATGTCATCGAGGCGACCGTACGAATGGAGGGTATGGAGTTCTACATTGAGAGATTTTTTGGACCAAATGGACCGTTTGCCAATGAAGAAATATCCCGGCACATAAATACCCTGCTGAGGAGCTTGAGGTCCGCCGGTGAAGCGGAAAATTATTGGGAGAGCTTGAAAACTCTGCCAAATATTATAGACAATAATTTCAATGACCCGCGGGTCAGTTTTTCCTACAAAATATTCGGCAATGAGCTGGAGTTTGTGATGCTGCGGGGCAAGGAAGAAATAGCCAAATCGCTGGCCTCTTTTGATCCTTGGGCGAAGATTAGGAATTTATTGTCTGGTCGGGAAATCCACTACGAGTACACAGGAATGTTTTTAGATGCCAGTTATATTGTTCCTAGTACCGCGGGCTTGCCGGTTCGCTTGGATCTATCAGGATCTGGAGCTTGTAACTTTAAATTCTCCGGGCTCTTGGACAGCGAGCGTTTTATGAAAAATACTGAAATGCAACTTGTTGGAAATTTATCACCAAGGTAGATTTATTTTATTGCTTTTAGTTAGTTTTTTAAATAAACTTTGTTCTGATATTTATTTTATTCCAGTGTGAGTATTGATATCACGGGAAAGATGACTGTAGACGCGTTTTATAAAAGTGCGTCGATGAAGCTGGTGAGCAATGTTTACTCCTCGAGCGCCATGAAAGTCGATCTGGACATCCAGGGCATCAGACTCGTCAGGCTAAATCTCCAAGTACCCAATCGTAAATTACAAGTATTCACAATACAGAGTAATATTCTTCTTGTGAATGGGAACGGGGCTGAGATTACGGAAAATCCGGCGTTGACATATATACAACTTCCCAATAAATATAAAACCATTGCCAATTCGAGTTGCAGTTGGCCAGTGGTTGAACAATTAATTGGTTTAAAACTTTGTTTCGACTATCAATTTCCAAACGTCACAGATATTGCCAATGCGCCATATTTCTTTCTGAATGGTCCGACTTTCCTCCGTACATCTATCATCAAAGCTGATCCAAGCGCTAAGAGTTATCTTTTTGAATACACGTGGAATGCAACACCAGTAATTTTTTATTCATTTATTTTTATCTACTATTTTGTCTATCCATTTCTTCATTACTTTATTGTTTTTTTTTTTTAGACTGATAGCGAATTGAGATTGGCTTTTGATACTCCTGGGTCATTAATAAATCGTGAATCCAGCGCGACTGTTAGTTTTGACGCCAAAACACGGAATGTCAGTGTTTTGCTTAAGTCAGCAGGAAATAGTCTTGTCGCAAAAGGTTTGTTGTAATTTTTTGAAATAAACTACAGCTTAATCTATATTAGGCTGCATTCGAAAATACTCTATCTCTAGATACATAATTAAGAAATGACCTTGTATCTCGTAAACTATTGACATTTTTAAAGATATAAGCTCATCCTGATGTTACACTCATCGAGACCTTTCGTTTGAGTACCCACATCAATTTTTCATATATTTGATATATATATATATATATAT